AGACAGTGAGGCAGTTAGGGAGGAACATGAGGCAGTCCTGGAGTCTGGGGAAGGCTCTGATGAGGGCTCTGTGTTGGAGGCAGAGAGGGGGCCAGCGCCATCCGACAGTTATGAGCTGCCTTCAGGGTCAGACATCAGTGAGGCAGAAGAACAGCTGGAGCCTGTTCCCAGTGTGCGCATCGGCAGAGTTGCCAGACGAAGGGAACAGCTAAAGAACAGGGGTCAACTTGGGAGTAAGGCCACGGGTGGACGATGAATGGCCCCTCCCAGAGGAAATAAAAGAGGAGCGAAAGGGGAGTGGAGTTTGCAGGAGACAATTAATTTGCTTCATTGGTTCCTGACTCTCGGAGACTCCTTGCCAAGTTTTGCAGATATCGGCCTGGCAGCTCTCCAAGCCAGATGAGGTCTGTGACCGTAAATCCTCCCTTGAAAGACTTTGCTGGATATGAATGAGCAGAATTCAGTCAATTAATAAAAGGGTTTTTTGTCGGGACAAGGAGTTGGCTTCATGCTCTCGGGAAGCCTGGGTCAGAACATTCCTTGAGTTACGGACCGCAACGGAGCCTGAAATCTCCCTTGCTGAGCAAGACAGTTGTTAAGTGACTTGCATCTCTTTTTACGCCCTTTCTCGCCACAGAGCTTAAGCGAACCCCTGCGGTCGTTAAGTGAAACACATGGGTGTTAAGAAAATCTGGCTTCCCCCATTGAATTTGCTTGTTGGAAGCCAACTGGAAAGGTTATAAATTTGGAGGGGGGGATTGTTAATCACATGATGGCGGGACATTCAACTGGTATAAATACAGACCCCAGGTGCCCAGCTGCCAAATTTCAGTCACGTGACTATGGGAAATCGTAAATATGAAAACTGGTCCCGTCACACAGTGTTATTGTAACTCTGAATGGTCACTAATCCAAGAGTTATAATTCAAGGATTACCTGTATCGTTTTGGTTCTGCTTAAGTCAAAGGGAGTTAATAAATGAATTGATAAGGAAATAGGATCTCCCCCTCAAGGGGTTTATGAACTGGTTCTGAAATTCCAAATGCTGCTCTACACACACACACACACACACACACACACACACACACACAATCACGTTTACAGACAATTGCGGCATCCCACAATCACGTATAGAAGTAGTCCTCAGCTTATTTCAACAACTGAGCCCCAAATTTCCTCTTGTAGAGTGCGTCATATTTTTTTAAGTGGGCTTTGCCCCGTTTTACGACTTTTCTCGCTGCGGTTGTTAAGCGAATCACGGCGGTCGATAAGTTAGTAACCTGGTTGTTAAGTGAACCCTGCTTCCCCATTGATTCTGCTTGGCAGAGGTCGAAAAAGGGGATCACGTGACCTCCCCCGGGATGCCACAACCGTCGTGAATATGAGTCAGTGGTCAAGCATCTGAATTTTGACCACATGACGGCTGCCATGGCCGTGAGTCACACTTTAAAGTGTTGTCGTCAGTTTGAACGGTCGCTAAATGAACAGTTGTAAGCAGGGATAGGCTTCAAATTTTTTTAGCAAAGGGTTCTCTTGTTGGAGCCTGGTTGTTGGGTGGGCGTGGCCTAGTCCACTTCCTGCACCATTAAGGGGAGGGGTTCCCTCCCTGGGCTCTGGAGGCTTTCCTCAAGCCTCCGTAAGGGCAAAAACGGCCTCCCCAGGGCTCTGGAGGCCAGAAAGGGGTTTGTTTCCAGCCATCCCAAACTTCCGGTAGGGCCGTTTTTTCCCTTTTCCCAGCCTCCGTGCACGCCCTGCCTTTACCTGCCTCCAAAAGGGGCTGCGTGGGGACTCCTGGGAGGGGTGGGGTGGATGGGGCCAGCCAAGAGTAGGATTTGGGGGTTCTCCAAACCAGTGTTTCTCAACCTTGGCAACTTGAAGATGTCCGGACTCGCTGGCTGGGGAATTCTGGGAGTTGAAGTCCGGACATCTTCAAGTTGCCAAGGTTGAAAAACACTGCTCCAAACTACACAGAATCTTAGCTAGAGGTTCTCCCGAACTCCTGCGGACCCCCAGCAGCCCACACCTGGTTGTAAGTCGAGGATTACCTGTCCTGCAGTTTAAACTTTTCTTTTCTTTTTTCTTTTTTTTGCCAAAACATAGCTATTCCTTCTGGGTTTGGGCAAAAATTCTCCTTCGAGAACAACGGATTCACTTTACAATGGTGAAGTTCGCTTTATGACATCTGCTTTAACGGTCGGTCGCAGAAACAGTCATCAAATCTGGTCGGTCAAGTGAGCGACCCGTTTTATGGCTGTTTCGGGACTTCATAAAGACCACCTTTTGATGCATTTTGCTCTGGGCTCTTTTAGCACACGCAGGTAAGGTCTGCGCGTCTATGGAAAGGAGGGAAAGGAACACCTTGTCGACCTGTGGGTGTTTTAGCTTTCTCATCCGTCATGTGCCGTTGTGCCGTTGGGCCAAACCAAGGGAGCAACAGTTGCACGCAAGGGTGTCTTTAATGATAGGATTGGGGGCTAAATACAGAATCTGGGAGAGATTTCCACAAGGGAAATTTCCAGCCCTCGTTTATTAATGAGTTCATTAAGAGGATGGATGGCTTAAAACATTCCTTCCCAGCTTTCTTGCCACCTGGACTCAGTTGCTGTTCATGCAATNTGTTTGTTAAGATGTAAGGCGGGAGTGTCCAAACTTGGCAACTTTAAGACTTGTGGACTTCAACTCCCAGAATTCTCCAGCCAGTTTCTATTCTTAGTGCAGAGGTCTTCAAACTTGGCAACTTTAAGACTTGTGGACTTCAACTCCCAGAATTCTCCAGCCAGTTTATATTCTTAGTGCAGAGGTCTTCAAACTTGGCAACTTTAAGACTTGTGGACTTAATGGCTGGCTGGGGAATTCTGGGAGTTGAAGTCCACAAGTCTTAAAGTTGTCCAGTTTGGACATCCCTGAAGTAAGGGATAATTATATGAAAATTTAAAAAAAACACCCTTTTTTTAAAAAAAGAGAGAATTGCGTTTCTTCCTTTCTTCGGTTCCTCCGATCCACGAGAGACAGGATCCTCGGCAACACAACACAACACAACACAACACACACACACACACACACAGCCACCCCTATCTACCTTGCAGAAAGCTCTCCCTCTGCCTGGCGCAGCGGAGAAAACCAGGCAGGGAGGAGAGGAGGAAAAGGATCCCCGAGTTTGCGCGCACCTGGGCGGGGCACTAAGCCCCGCGCGCGCTCTCGCCGCGCGATCCAAAAGCCGTGACGCTGCGCGAAAGAATTGGCCAAATTGTTCGGTTTCCTTCCCGGCCGCTCCGGTTTCCTAGCTTAGGAGGGTTGCGCAAGAAAGGGAGCGGCCGGCCCCGGATCCGGTGCCGACCCCGAAGGGCGAAAGCCAGCGGTGGGCTCCACGCGCAACGCTTGAGCCACCATGCCTTTCCGGAAAGGTAAGGCGCTCGCTCGCTCTCTCTCTCACCTGGGCAACTGGGGGGGGGGTTTCTGCTGGGGGGAGGCTGTTTTCCCGGCAAGGAGTAAATGAAATCCTGGGTTTGGGAGGCTTTTGACTTCTTGGCTTTTCGGTCCCGAGTCCGTATAAAAACGCGGCTGGGCTTCGTGCGAGGAATTGAGTTGCTTCCTTCCCTTTGCGCGGCGTCGCATTGGATTTGGAGCTGCGGGTCGGGCAGTGGGCACTTTCTCTGAACCGAAAGTGAAAGTTCCTTCCTCTTCCTTCAACCAAAACAAGACAGTAAGCCTGTAAAACTCAAGTCGTTGACTCTCTCTCTCTCTTACTCTCTCTCTCTTCCTTCCACGTTTTCTTTCTCTTCCTCCTTTTTCTTGGCCTTTCCCTTCCTCTCTCTCTCTTCCTTCACCTTTTTCTCTTTCTCTCTCTCTTCCTCATTTTTTATCCCTCTCTTCCTCATTTTTTTCTCCCTCTCTTCCTCATTTTTCTCTGTCTGTCTCTTCCTTCCTCTCCCTTCCTCTCTCTCTCTCTTTCTCTCTCTCTCTTTTCTTTCAACTTTTTTCTTTCTCTCTTCCTCATTTTTTCTCTCTTCCTCATTTTTCTGACTCTCTTCCTTCCTCTTCCTTCCTCTCGCCCTTCCTTTTTCCCTCTTCCTCTCTTTCTCTCTCTCTTTTCCTTCACCTTTTTTCTTTCTCTTCCTCATTTTTTCTCTCTCTTCCTCATCTCTCTCCCTTCCTTTTGCTCTCTCTTCCTCTCTCTCCCTCACTTTTCCATCTTTTTTTCTTTTACCTTCATTTTGCTCTGTCTTTCTCTCCCTCTCTTTTCTTTTTTCTCTCTCTTCTCTCTCTCTCCCTCTTTTCCTTCACCTTTTTTCTTTCTCTCTCATCCTTATTTTTCTGTCTGCCCCTTCCTTCCTCTCTCTCTTCCTTTCTCTATCTATCTATCTATCTATCTGTTCCTCTTTCTCTCTCTCTCTTCCTTCCTTTTTTTCTTTCCCTCTTCCTCATTTCTCTCTCTCTCTCTCTTCCTCATTGTTGTCTCCTTCCCTCCCTCCCTCCCTCCCTCCCTGCCTCAGATAGAAAGTCCATTCAGAGGAGGTTTCCAAGTATTTCTAGCAGGACTGTCAGATTCTGTAAGAGCTTGTTCCCTATGCCTGTGATGGTGAACCTATGACACGCATTCCACAGGTGACACACGGAGCCATATTTGCTGGCAAGCCAGGCCTCAGCTCCCTCACATCTTTCGGCCTTCCGGAGGGCCGGGGAGGCCGTTTTCCCCTCCCCAGGCTTCAGGAAAGCCCCTGGAGCCTGGGCAAAAACTCTCCCACTCCCATTGCGGGATGGTGCGCACGCAGATGTGGTGTGTGTGTGTCACATACGCAGGTGGGTGGAGCACATTCCATTGTGGATCTGGGCATGCGGGAGCACAATTTTGGCACACCTTTACAAAAAGGTTGGCCCTCACTGTCCCATGCCATCCGTCTGGCAAACTTGCAAGATTCATTTTTCTCACTGTGTACATGTATACAGGAATACAATAGCAGAGTTGGAAGGGGCCTTGGAGGTCTTCTAGTCCAACCCCCTGCCTAGGCAGGAAACCCTGTACCGTTTCAGACAAATGGCTATCCAACATCTTCTTAAAGACTTCCAGTGTTGGGGCATTCACAACTTCTGGAGGCAACTTCTGTTCCACTGATTCATTGTTCTGACTGTCAGGAAATTTCTCCTCAATTCTAAGTTGCTTCTCTCCTTGATTAATTTCCATCAATTGCTTCTTGTCTTGCCTTCAGGTGCTTTGGAGAATAGCTTGATTCCCCCTTCTATGTGGCCACCCCTGAGATATTGGAAGACTGCTATCACGTCTCCCCTAGTCCTTCTTTTCATTAAATGAGACATTTTCAATTCCTGCAACCGTTCTTCATATGTTTTAGCCTCCAGTCCCCTAATCCTCTTTGTTGCTCTTCTCTGCACTCTTTCTAGAGTCTCCACATCTTTTCTACATCGTGGCAACCAAAACTGAATGCCGTATTCCAAGTGTGGCCTTACCAAGGCCTTGTAAAGTGGTATTAACCCTTCATGTGATCTTGATTCTACCCCTCTGTTGATGCAGCCTAGAACTGTGTTGGCTTTTTTGGCAGCTGCTGCACACGGCTGGCTCCTATTTAAATGGTTCTCCACTAGGATTCCAAGATCCCTCTCACAGTTACTACAGTTGAGCCAGGTACCACCTATACTGTACCTGTGCATACATCCGGACGTGACTGTGTTGTTTCTCAGTGTCATATAATATATGTGGGTACGTGCATCATTTTGTATTTCTCTTGTCATGTTTTGTTTATATTGGAGGTGGAAGTCTTTTGAGAGGTGAATGCAACAAAATTTCATTTTAATGTATGCTGATAAGTGTACATTCAAAGGGACAATAAACTATTCTATTCCGTCTCCTTCCTTCCTTCCTTTCTTTCTTTCTTTCTTTCTTTCTTTCTTTCTTTCTCTTTCTCCTATCCACCCACCTATCCAATCATCCATCTTTTCTACTTATCGCAGCTAGATTTCTAGATGCAGAGAGGGAGGCCCGTTTTGTCAAATGCAAGTTAGTCCCCGACAGAGAACCGCCGTTGAGCTCCAAATTTTATGTTGCTAAATGAAAACATTGGTTAAGTGTCGTTTTGCGAGTTTTCTTACCACTGCTGGTTCAGTGCATTGGTTAAGTTAGTAACAGGCTTGCTAAGCGAATCTGGATTCTGCACCAACTTTGATGCTTGCCAGAAAGTCGCAAAAGCGGATTACGTGACCCCGGGACTCTGCAACCGTCATAAATATGAATCAGTTGCCAAGGGTCTGAATTTTGATCATGTCACTGTGGGAATGCTGCAAAGGACATATATATCAAAGTCTTTTTTCAGTGCAGTTGTAATGAACTGTTATAAATTGAGCACTACCTATAACTCCGTTACAGGTAACTTCCCCAGGAGGGGAATGTGGATAGTAAAGTTAGAGCTTCCTGATTCTCAGTGGTGGGTTTCAAAAAATTTTGGAACATACTCTGTGGGTGTGGCCTGCTTTGTGGGAGTGGCTTGCCAGCCATGTGACCTGGTGGGAGTGGCTTGCTGGCCATGTGTTCTCTCTCTCTCTCTCTCTCTCTCTCTCTCCTTCCT